GGATGAAATCGGATAGGGATGAACGAGTTTAAGAGTTTTTAAGAGTTTAAGAGTTTTAAGAGTTTTTAAGAGTTGTAGCCAAATGCTTTATAATATAGTATAGATATATACTCACACATACATACACACACACACACACTTGGGATCACGTGAGACCATCCTGTTTTCCAGACTCGTGAGACCACTTTTTTACACTTGAAACATCACATCAAAACACATTGAAAGTAACCATCACAGTGTTTTTGCTGTGAAGGTTCAATTTTTTTTAACTTCAATGTTTTTCTATAAAGTTTCAAGTGTAGAAAAATGGTCTCATAGGTCTTACGAAAACAGTTTGGTCTTACGTGAACCTAACCCCAATATGATATGTTATATTATATATACGTGTGTGTGTGTGTTTAATATACATCTCAATAAGGCTTTCCCTACCTAGAGTGACAACAGCTTAACACCCCCTGACTCATCATCTCGGGCAAAAACAATTAAACTCAAATCAAAAACCCAAAACAAAAAACAAAACCAAATCAAATTAAATCAAAAACCAAAACAAAACCCAAAGTAAATCGACGAATGGTGTGTGTTATATGTGTAAGGAGATAATGTGGTAGGTTTTTGATGAAGTAGAGGATGAAGGTGGATGCTCTAATGGTCCTAAAATGATACAAACCTAAGAAAAATTTCCAGGACTCTTAATGAAAAAGATAATAAAGATGGCAAATCGATGTTGTCTTGTTCCAAACCCCATAACCCCAACCATGTTAATATTCATATTGAATTTAACTCCTTTTCTTCATCATCTCTTCTGTTGCTGATGGTCCTAAAAAAATCCAAAGCCGTAAGAAACCACCATAAGTCCAACAAAACCCACCCACAAGATTCTGCCTCTAATTCATATGCTTGCCTTCATCCAAGGACAATATCGAACTTGGTTACTAACAGGGTTGCGGTTATGACAGAGATTAGGGGCTTCTAGTTTAAGAAAGTTAGGTTGCGGTTACTTGATTTTAGCCCCTAAAAATGGAACCAACTTTTCTAATTTGATCGATCAAACTTTAATTATCCATTCGATTATCTTATCAATATTTATCAGGTCCATCTCAAGAAATCAAACCCTAGATTTTTTTCATTTCCATCAAGAAATGAGTGAAGGCTTCACCAATGAGGACAAGTAGAGGGAGAAGGTGAGAGAAAGGTATTTGACGTGGGAAAGCACGTTGAGGATGGAGGGGGGGGGGGAAGAAAAACATAAATGACCAAATTAACCCTCATTTAACAGATGTTTTAAACATTTATTAGTAAGAGGGACCAATACCGAACAAAAATGCAAAATACAATAGCAAATTTGTATAAAATCAACTCTAGGGACCAAAAGAAAGAAAATGGGAAAAGCAAAGGGAGAAAAAAAAATGAAGTTTACTCTAAATATAGGATTCTAGGAAGATTCGAGATTTTTGGGGTTAAGAATATGTTCAAATCATCTGACCAATAAAAAGTTTACACCTGTCCCAAAGGTTTAAGCGCCGCCCGTTCAACTTACGCTGTATACGTCCCACAATATTAGACCACATGTTGGACTTTGACTCCTTCCCTCTTGCCCTAAAATTCTCCTTCAATACATAAAAAGCTTCCCTTCTGGAAAACCCCTCATCGCTCTTTTCAATTTTCGCCCCCCCTCTCTCTCACACATCTTCCCAAATCTACAATCGGCGATCCGATCTGCATAGATTGATGGCGTCGTTCGCGGAGGCTCCTGCCGGAAATCCCACCGTCGGCGAGAAGATCTTCAAGACTAAATGCGCTCAATGCCACACCGTAGAGAAAGGCTCCGGCCACAAACAAGGTCCTTTCTTCTGATTTTTTTCCTATCTGCTCTTTAGATCTGATGATTTTGGAATCTATTTGTAACCTGAAGAATTGTTTTGAATGATTGTGTACACGCCAGTCTTTTATTTTCGAAAAAGCGGATTGTGTTATTCGTCTAGAATCGAGGTTGATTTGCCGTAATCGCTGTTAAATTAAATTGTAGATTTTATTATGACGGTGGTCTTTGGGTATAAGCTGATCTTCATATGGTTGGCATTTTCTTTCTGGAAACGCAAAGATAAGTTTAATTCATTATAGTCTTGGGTAACAGAATTATAATACATGGATGATGAGGTGTGTTAATTTTCGATGGTGGATCTAGGGTTTTTTCGACGAGGATCAATTTCTATTGAATAATCTTTTAGAAGAAATTTAGTGATATTTAGTGTTATAAATGAAAAGTAAAATCAATCCATCTTCAATTTTGGCACAATACAAGTCCTGAATGTTAAATTTTTATAATTTTCAAAGGTACAATGTCTTCCAATTTTTTCAAAACCTTCCTAGATTTTTCACATTTTTTCAGTAATGGTAATACTTTATATTTTTTTTGTAGTTTGAAATATCAATTAATCTTATCACCACTCTTAAGATTTCAATGTTCAAAAGTACACTAAATTAAAACCCTTAAATGATTTGGGCTAACAAAGCTTTTGAGTAACCATTTGAACTCCAGAATCAAACAAAGCTTTTGAGTAACCATTTCACCTCCAGAACCAAGCCAAACTTAAAACTGTTGATATGTTATCTACCAAATAAAACTTATTCTTTGAAAGCCTCCACAATTCTTGTAAAATTCTTAGATTGAAGCTTAAATGGAAGTGAACCACTATCTTTCATGGTACTAATATATGTGGCTGATTCTATGGTCGATATTGATTCATTTAAACAGATCAATAGCCTACCTAAAAGGCAGTTTCCAATGAACCTCATTTCAATTTTTAGAAGAGGAACCTTTGATGACATATTTTTAGCAAACCTTACCTTTCTTAAAGATCTGGACCACACATCTCTTTTTGCATAGAGAAGTATGTTTCGAGCTGTTTTCAATGTTTTGGTTGTTGCCTTATGTGTCTAGTTTTTAGTTTAGGCATCAATTGGTGAATCTTTCTTAACTTTTATATTTTTAAATAAGCTTTTATGAAATAATGCACATCTATGTACTTAATTAACATAAGAAAAGTGCTGGTTTTTAATCTGGTTTATAGTCTGATTGCAGCAGTAGTTGACTCAATATCTGTATGTTTGGAACCAAGGACAGGGTTTTTCTATTAGGGGATGTTTTTTTAGAGGTATTAAGCAGTAATCAATGGGAATGGTAATAAAAGAAATTGTTTGGTTTTATATAATGTAACGGTCTCATTTCTGATCCCCCCTAGAAGCCCAAATTTCATTTCAGGTCAAACCAGAGGGAATGAAAAGTCATTCCCATTTTCATTCATTGTCATTCTCGTTTTCTTTGCCATTTTTGTTTTCCGACGTCAACCACCTCCTTAGATTACATGTGAATCAAACATTTGTAGTGAATAAAAGACTAGTTCTTGTGTTAGAAACTTGCATGGGCAATAATTAGAGCGTGCACACACACGCATGTGTATACATATATGTGTGTGTGCAGTGTGACTTGCTATTCTAACTTTAACTTGTTGGGGCTTAAAAAATTATATATATATATATATATATATATATTTGTGTGTGTGCGGTGTGACTTGCTATTCTAACTTTAACTTGTTGGGGCTTAAAATATTACCTGTGATGATAAGTTGATGCGAAATATGAAATGTTGAAGGATTTTGCAGCTTGGTTGATTTGTGTTGTGAGAAAGGATTCTTCTGTTTCTTGTGGGCATGACTTAATGTTGAAAGTGGTGCTTATATGCAGGACCCAATCTTAATGGACTATTTGGAAGGCAGTCTGGAACGACCGCTGGATACTCGTATTCTGCTGCTAACAAGAACAAGGCTGTTACATGGGAGGAAAATACACTATATGACTACCTGCTCAACCCAAAGAAGGTATGACTTTTTGTTTATCCAGGAACTTTTAGATGCAAGTAAATACTTTAATGGTTCTTGCTTGCACTTTCAGTTTAAATTGAAGGATACAAAAAGCAATCACTTGAAAATGTCATAGTGCATCTCACATTTTGTGTGATTTCAGTAACTTTGATTAAACTTGTTTATGTTTTGGTATGTTATGCTGAATTGGTATATGTATATCTGTTCGTTATATGCAGTACATCCCTGGAACAAAGATGGTTTTCCCAGGACTGAAAAAGCCACAGGACCGTGCAGATCTGATTGCGTACCTGAAGGCATCGACAGCTTAATTCCATTTTAAAGTGCTTTTTCTAATGACTTGAGGTATAAGGGTATGGATAAATTTGGATTATTATTTTTCCGTGAATAAGGGAAGGAGGACATTCATCCATCGTCTTTCTTTTTCTCCTTCATTTTTGAGAAACTGGTTTGTCCAATTGGCAAAAAAACCTAAATTGTGACCCTGGAGCAGATGAATGCATTTCAAGTGTTTTCTTTCTTTAAACATCATTCATTTTATATGATTGTTGAACATCTGATATAAACATGGAAACAGATATATACCTTATTTATTTCATGATGGTGGAGGTGGTTTTATGGTCACTAATAAGCAGGTAAGAAGCAATTTATGTTTCAAGTCGGAAACACAATTATAGTATGAAGTTCTGAGGATAAAGAGGCTGTTTCTATGGTTTAAAAACGAACATAAGAAAATATGGATGTATGATGTATGTGGTTATGAATGGTGTGCTTTTTCACAAAATGTCGATTGGACAAAGTTTTGATAGCTATTTTTAAAAGATGAACAATAAGGGAAATGTTTGTCTTTCATAGATTGTCTAGAAAGTAACTTGTGTGGTACACAAAACTTTGCTACTAATATGGTAATGGTAATGGTAGTATCAACCAAATTCACCTTTATGGCACCAACTTGAATGGTATTATGTTTCTTTGGTTTGTACTTGGTAATGGTATATTTGTTTTCATTCCTTTTAACTTGTGTTGATGCATAGCCTTTTTAGTGATTTGATGGTGATTTTTTTTACTTGGTGAAAATACTTCAGGTTTTTTTTTTGGTTTAGACATAGGAATGAAAATGACGGGGAATAAAAATGGACATTGAACATTGCATTCCCATAGATATTGTTTGGATGCTTAGCTTATATAATAACTGATATTTTGTTTTGTAGTATTGTACTACCATTTTTATAATATTAACCATTCAATTTATCATTTAAACACAACTTCAAAAAATACATATGTTTCATCCAACTTTAGAAATACAAAATACGAATTGATATTTCATCCAACTTCAGAAATACAAATACAATCCGCTATTTCATCCAACTTAAAAAATACAATACCTTAAATTTTGATGTTTCATTTAACTTCAAAAAAACAATTCAATTCTATATTTCATCCAACTTCAAAATACAACACCAAAGTGAGTCAAAATGCGTACCAAAAGATTATGTTCAAGGTTCAAATTCATTGATTAATTGGATACGAGAACCTAAGCATGTATGATCTTCTCATATGAGTTGACAACGTAAACATGACCTTAACTTCGGTGGGTTCATCATAGAAAATTTCAAGAGCTTTACCAATATCACCGGTAGATATTTTAACACTAAGAAGTTCATTTATGACCTCTTCCATCTTCTCATCACTCAAAGAATCAGATTTGTTACCGCCAACATTGGCAGTAGCAGCATATTGCGACATTGTTTAACCACAAATAGACTTAAACTTGGAATTAAATTCATCTAACAGTGTGTCGGTGGTATGTTGAAGAGAAGGTGATTTTTGTTCTTGTAAATTTCTCTTCTAGGTGAAAGTTTTTGGTGTTTTTTTTATGTGTATGTAGTTTATGAATTAGGAGATCCTTGTGCATCAACTTCTTGTTCACCTTCACTATCAAAAGAACATACAAACATATTCTTATTGTTGCTAATATCCTCACATGCTTGGATTGCTAATATCCTCACATGCTTGAATATATTCTTGGCTTTTAGCCTTGTCGTTGCTCTATCTCTACCCCATACCAAGTCCATTTTTCACAAATATGGAAATTCCAAGTTCCATAGGCCATTTGCATTCTTATGAGTCTACAAAACTAAAAACGACATTATGAGAACAAAAATAGTACAATTAAAAAAAGAGGATTATGGTCAACAAAAAACGACTTACCTTGCACCAATCATCATACCATTGATTTCACAATTAATTTTATGCTCAACATCATCCTACTGACACCCACTTTGCATCAACATTTCAGAATGCAAATTGTATTTGTTTTTAAGATATTTGATCCGGGAGTCAATGTGAGAGATAGCTTCCTTATCAAAATTTGAAAGCCTTTGAACCAACCTTTTATGTACTTCAATCATGCAACCGCTTTTCAATCCACCATCTACCTTCCATAACGGATCACAAGCAAGTTCTTATAAAACATTGACCAACGCTTCACCTTCCTCCTCGTTCCAATATCTTTTGTTTTTCCCCCTTCCACATTTATGCTCACTTAAATGTGTAGCCATTTCTAAACAACATAATTAGCATAATATCAAATACAACATAATTAAACATAATGACAAATACAACATAATAAAATATGTAGGAACCCAGATCCTCAATTACACTAGTGATTAATGCTAAAGACAAATAAATGAGCAGAAGCAATAAGCAATAATACTAGTAGGTTAATGAAATACGACAAGTAAATAGTAATGAAAATCAAATACTCTTTTGTGAAATTTCCGTAGTCAAATGTATTTCAAAGGTTTTAGAGAATAAGCCTTTACACCAAGAACACACAGCACCGTGTGAAATAAAATATCTCTAAAATTATTTCTCTCAAGTACGAAATTCTCTCACTGATTTCTTGCAAAGAGTGCGTCTCAAAATTGGTAAGAAAAACCTTGGAGGAATCACCTATATATAGGCATCTTTGGAAAAGTCAACGCATCCTCCAATCAACCATCTACACGTGTAAGAGTAGGAGTAACCGTTTCAGCATACATGGTGAAAGGAGATAGGACCACTTGTACGAGTGAGATTGGCTAGAACCAACAGGTTGAAAATGAAGTTGAGACCTAAAGGCTCTGCATGTACTATGCAGAGCCTCTAGGCAGAGGCTCTGTGTCTAGGACTCGAGCTTTGCATCCCGAGTGCTTGGAAACTTTGGTGCGCTGCTTCAGTCTTGGTTTGCTCTGTATCTAGGCCCTGATTCTTAGCCGCTTCTAGACAGCAAGTCTTCTTGGCTTTGAACTTGAGACTTTTTTACTTACACTTTTAAACACTAACATTCTCCCCTTACGTGTAATAAAAAGAAATTACAAGAAAGTAATTCTAGTCTAGAAATAAAGAGGCCAACATGGTCCTTTGTAAATTAAATTCATTGATTTCGAACAAGAAATTACGAAGTACATTTAAGCTCTAGATATGTTGGAGTTTCATGAAACTTTGAAGAAGGTCATGTAAGTCTAACAGATCATCTATTGTTCTAACCAGCTCTGCTGCAGCTTCTCTTGATGTGTGATCTTCATATCCCTTATGTATTACCTTCTTCCTGAACCAGAGTAGAGTTGCAGATAGTACTTATATTTTTCTAAGGCGCGAAAGAAGGCTTTCTCTTTAAGTTCATTTTTGAAGACGAAACCCAACTCTGGTTCAATAAGAATAGATCATGAAGGGATAATATGAATGTCTTCAAGATATTGATTCGACGCTGTGACAGTTGATCCACTCCAAGCTTGAGCGTGATTTGGAAGTCTACCTTGCTTCTGTACTCGATTAGATCATTCATCGTCTTCCCTATTGCCGAGTTTCCAAGGGAGTACTTCAACCCTCTGTCCCTCCTTTGATCTGAATGGAAATACAAAGTTTTGAGGCATATGGGTTCATATATATAAGATCACAATCTGTGAACACATTAATATGACCTAGAGCCCTCTCCACCGTGTACTCCGAGAAAACGATCTGGTTGTAGGAAAATGTCCTCTTCTTGATGTCCTACACTTGTTTGATTCCATCATTTGAGTACCCTTCTTGCTGGGGCAATGTATATTGCCCGAGGAACCTCTGCTTTATATGTTCTTGAAGCTCTGGCTGCAGATTGGACTTCTTGAAGACCCTTTCCTCCTGTTCTCTGTATAAGAATTGATAAATCTTTTCATTTGAAACAAGATTTATTGGTTGATGGGTCTTCTCATCGCATCCATCTGATCTCGAATTTCTCTTACTCTGTCTTGTAGAGGGACAAAGCTAGTTGGTCTGGTGTAGAGGTCTGGATGAACGTCTTGAGCTTGAACGGTTTGCTGCAAAATGTGGACCGGCTCTTTTGATGCAGAGGTAGAGGTGGAAGCTGGCATTTGTCTTTTAACAAGAGGAATATCATCCTCAGACGTTTAATCATCTTGAACATTTACTACCACCTCTTCAAAATGAGCTCTGTCTTCTCCTCTCCTTAGCTCCATTCTTGAGACCCAAAAGTATCATTAGATGTCATCATCTCCACAACAATTACATTGGGTTTGGTAGATGTCAGTTCTTGTAATGAGGATGTTGCACAAACAATCATTTCTGCTCTCATGGACAGAAGTGAGTCGGATTTGGGAGAGACCTCCATATCTTCTCCAAAGATAGACTCAGAGGTAGAAGTGACCTCTGGTCGGAGTTGAGATCTTTGTGAAGTACCCTTTGGCTCTTGATGGGATTCTTGAATGTGCATAGAGTTGATAGGGGCTTCAGGTATGGCGAATTTTGCACGAGTCCTCTCCCCCTTTTGATGATTTTGAGGACCAGAGGCTTTTGGGTCATCAAACCTCCTCTTCTTGGTGCCTTCTTCACAAGGGGAGTCTTTTTTTTTCTTTTTCTTTTTGAGCTTTGTTGTAGGCATCTTCTTCACCTTCTCATCGAACAACTCAATGATATCTTGTGCAACAAGTGTGGCCTTGTTGATCTCTATATCAACTCGAAATTTGAAAGTGGCCAGGGACTTGTGCATGTTTTATATTGTTGTTGTTGCTAATGAGTTGAAATGAGAAGTAAAGTCTGACACCTTCTGTAGCAGCTTGTTGCCAAGGTTGTGCATCTCGTCTCTTGTGATGTAGTCGGCCGGTGCAAAGATAGGAATCAAGGCATTCTCATTCAGTTTGACCATATCTTATGTGGACTTTCAAAATTGTTCCACAAAGACTGGTGTGATTGGTGCCTTGGACTCCTCTTTATGAATAAAATCTACTACGCTCTGCAGGTAGCATTGGCATTAGCCGTCAATTACATAGATGATTCGAGTAGTTTAGCATTCGTCGAGTAATCAACTTTCAAAGTTGCAATGGATGCTCGAGTACCATCCAAGCCAGATGCAGAAGTTGATGATCTGCATGGGTCATTGTGAGTTTTAGCTCTTCCAAGGAACTTTGAACATTGGTGACAAAGGCCTGGAACTTGGCCTTTGTGACATTCAGAAGGGGTAACATCTGGCTCAACACATGGGCCAGATTTGGTCTTAGTTCCTAAGACACCTTCGTTCAGACTTGTGTTTACATTGAGTCTGGAAGGATTTCCGTCCGATTCTTATATATCTTCATCATAAGAGTATACTACGAATATTCAGTTGATGCGAGGTTTTCC